GTTTGTCGACTGTACGCAGTGTTATTGATTTGACTGGCTAAGTCTCGTATCATAACGTTAACTCACAGTCTCGGGTGTTACCAGGGAAACGGAGTTATGGCTTGTATAATAATATAAAATAATGTTTTCATTTAGTTTCTCTTGGCCAAGTGACCGCAGTGTAAGCGGGTTAAAGCCCTTTAAAGTGTCCATTATCAGGACATAATGGCCTCCAACATCGTCCATTATGTCCTGATAATGGATCCCTACGAGTAATGCAATTACAGCCACTTTAACATTGTGTGCTGGGAACATGAAGTACTTTCTCAATCTTTAGACGGAGCTCCGCCCAGAAATAACCAAACCACCTTTAATCAATAATGAACACACTTCTACTATTTCCTTTAAACTAACCACAACAACTAACTACTAATACTACACTTCCCCTCTACAGCTCTACTGAAACCAGCGATCAGAAATACTCACGTTGTGTTTCCCCGTTCATTAATGTGCTGTTTATCTCTGCCGGTGGCTCTGACTCTGTGCGCTGCTTCCTGTTTGTGCGTTGCATGATGGGAAGTGAAAACGGGGAGAACGACTGCACTAGCGAAGGCTGTAAACTGGGGAAAGCTAGGCTACGCACTAATTGGCCGTACGGTTGATTGGGACGGGAAGAAAAACTGAAACCGATTAGCAACAAAACAAGACAACAAAGATCTTCCCTCGACATCAGTGTGTCCACATTAATAAACCCTTTCAGAAGCAGCGTTGAAAGCCGGATTGTTTATGATCTGAATTGGAGGCGAACGGTGACACAGGATGGAGACAGGCCTCGTTCTGAAGGCGGTCTGACCCAGATGCCTGGATTACAGAGCGCAGTGCAGCTGCAGTCGGGGAACTCGGGGCCAGTCAAGCGTGGCTCTTGTATCCATTATGTAAAACAGAGATTAAAACAAAGTGCGGTTAATATGCGGCCCCCCGAAAATCTACACAGTGACATTAAGGAAACTGTATGTGGAAATATAAATCCCTGCTCTTCTAGATCATTTAAGAACATATTCTGGGATTAAAGCGGAGTGGAAGGAGTTGACCTTTGACCCCCAAAAGCAGATTTAAGGACATTAATGAAGAGTATTTCTCAACAATTATTCCTCCTCCTGTAAAGACATATTTTATATAATTATAATAAGTAGAGAGGAGTTCAAATTGTTGATAAATTATTACATTAATAAAGAGTAAAAAAAGACCTTATATCAGTTTACAGCTACATTATAGTCTGTTAAAGAACATTTATAAATGCTAAATAGGGGCATTAAAATGAAATGTTTACCTTTAAATCATATATAATAATGTCAATTTTGTTTATAATACATTCATGTGGTTTAAATATATATGATTTGATGTTATAATTCTACAGTTTGTTACTCAAATTGATGATTTTGGTTCCACATTTATGAAATATTGATGATTTTATGAGTAGTTCTGTTTATATTTTCCATATTGTGATAAATTAATTATTTAAAAATGTCTTTGTGTTGTTAAACTGGTTTTAACCAGATATACATACATCCATACAATCATATGCAATAAAAACAGATTATTTTAATGATTTAGTTCAGGCTAATTTATGCAGTAATCTGCTGTAACCTTGGAAACGGTTCATATTGGCCTGACAATACGTGTTTATTGGTCGTAAACTAAAACATTATGTAACGTGTGTTTTTTTAATAGCTCGCTGACTGAGGATCTGTGAGTGAGAGTGAATCTCTGTATTGTCGGAGCTGACCCATGACGTAATGATAAGAAGATAATGAATGCTGTCAGCGGGATTATGTCACCATGTTCAGACAGACAGCGGCGCGGTGTGCGGGCGCCGACACACGAAGCTCCTGCAGGGAAGACGTGGGGTTTGATTGACGTGAGGTCACCTATAGCTGCAGTGTAAACGCTGCTTCTCTGTGCACATTCACATGAGACAGAAACATTTTGGTTTTCTGAATTAACAAGATAATTATCTCACAATTATGGCAAAATAACGTTGCAGTTTGTCTCCGTGATCCGTCTTCCAATCAGCTGTCTGCCTGTGTCCACAAGGAGGTCAATTCAATTGTTTTGGGTTCACACCTCGACCAGGGAAGCGTGGATCTGGACAGGAAGGTGGCGGCTGTGTCTCAGAAGGTAGAGCAGGTCGTCCACTAATCAGAAGGCAATCCCCGGTTCCTCCTGCTGCTTGTGGGAAATGTCCTTGAGCAAGAAACTGTGTTGAGTGATCACTATATGAATTTGTAGCATAAAAGAGCTTCTAGTGGCTAACAGGCACTTGGCCGACCTCCCTTCCTCCCCTCTGGGTCTCCTAGCGGAGGACCAGGGGCACAAACAGTCTAACAGAGGACCAGAAAGCTCTGCATGGGCTCGCTGGAGGCTGGTTATTTTGATTAGGCTCCAGAAGTGCTGAGAACCGGCTGGAATAACTTTTTCATGAAAACTTTTCTCTGATTTGAGTGAAATAATAATCTCGTTAATTCAGAAAACATTCTCACGTGAACTCTACGCTTCCTGCTGTTAACCTTGTGATGACTTTCCACTACAATCCTGTTTTTGTGTCTCATGATTCTGTTGCTCAAACTGGACTTCCTGAATAATACTTCGGTTTAAACGCAGGACTCTTGAACACCAACTTATTCTGCATGTTAATTTTCACCATTTCGCCTTATTCACTGAGCACATTAACCAAGGAAACATCTCTTTGTCGACGGCGCCAGGGTTCGTCCGTGTTTCTGACCTTTCATTTTGGCGTCTCCGGGGCTTCTGTGTCCCATCTGGACTCCGTTCTCCTGGTGGTGCTGGTCGTTGATGGTCATGTTGGCTAAGGAGGAGCTCATGGTGTCTCCAGAACTGTAGCTGTTGGAGGCGTTGTTCATGTAGTCCATTGCCAGTCGCAGGTCAGGCTGCAAGAGTTCAGTAAAATGAAGATCAGGGCAGAATCCAGGATGTGTCGCATAACTCATTGCTAATATTACATGTCTGGTTTTAAGGATTAAATATAATGATGGCGTACTTCATGAACCCAGTCCGTCACCGCGAAACGTAAACAGACACTGTGTCTGTAAAAACCAGTTATTTATACATCCTGACGTGGGGTCGGTGCTTCATGTTACAGCCTGACAGATAAAAATAGTCCCTTCTGCCCATGTGCACGCCGTCCTGATGAGCTGCACTTCCTAAACAACCTCCTCTGAACAAGTGCGGCACTTGTGTCTTCACGTAGCACAGAGCGGGTCATTAAGATGCTAATATACAAAACCTGACAGTCCTGACGTGCTCCCTCATCCAGAGGGATGTGAATAGCGTCAAATCTCATAAAAAAAGAGGATTACATATCAGATTAAAGCCGAGAGCCTCTGGTTACATCAGCAGTTTTCAGTCTGAATCATATTTTTTTTTTTAACATATAAACTGAGCCAGCATCGAGAGCTTAGGGGCGTAATCGGTGTCGACATCCAAACTGCTCTTTCCGTGTTTGTGTGGTGGTGCAGATTTGTCGACCTCTGATCTTTGTTTTCAAGCCTCGTGTCCACTCTGGCACATAAACGGTTTAATCTCTCAGAGGTCCCGCTGAAAGCCCAAAGACAGTTTATAATATTATAAATTATCATCGGTTGCAGGAACATGAAGCCATTACATCCGTCTGTGCTTTCTTCAAACTCACCAGACTCCTTTGACAAAAACAGTAATTTGGAAGTTGCTGGTTCCCAACCTTTCTCTTTAAAGGAGCCTCTTTTCTATCACTGAAACTGACATATTTTATGGACATTTCATATTATATTCAATGTATGACAATAATAGTACAGAACAACTGACAAACTGTACAATAAACCCAAATAATGAATTCAGACGAGTAATTTGGATGAGTTTTCCTGATAGTTTTAGGAACTTTTTATGCAGTTTTCGCTCTATACTGTGTATTTTTATTATTTTTTAACAATCATGAATGCTTAATTGGTATCTTATTTTGCTTGTGCATTGTTCTATGAGCTCTTTGGTTGTTTTCTAATGCAGGACGAGGCTGTTTATCAGAGAGAGAAGGCTTCTGTTCAAACTGTTTGTCTTAAACAATGATCTAAAGTTCTAGTTTCGTTTGGTTTTCTTCACAAAAATGAACAAAATGCTGAGATAAAGAATCTACTGTGTATAATTTTAAAAGTTTTCGTACACACCTTAAAATCAAGAAGGCCTTGCGACCCTTAGTGAAGCTTTGGCGACCCCTAGTTTGGGGTTAGGAACCACTGAGTTGATCAGTTTGTGTTTTAACACGTTAGAAACTGCAATAACGTCAGTTGCTGCAGATCGAGGCAGTGGTAACTTCCATGTCGTGCAAAGTAAAATGTCTGTTTTTGTCAGTGGAGTCTGGTGGCTTTGAAGAGAGCAATATTACAAAGTAAAGCAGTGAAAATACTTCTTCAAAAACTCTTAACTAACCCTTTAAAGTATATTTTAATCTTAATATTTTTATACTTAAGTAGGATTTTGAATGCAGGACTTTTACACTGTTGAATTTGTGGTTTCGAGTACTTTCACAAACACCACACAGTGTTGTGACGGCACCGGCTGCATTTGTCTCTTCAATGCCCAAACTGTTGCCATGGTTACTCCTCCACCCAGTAAAACCCGCTCTATAGAGACACACTGGACTCAGCTATGTGACCTTCCCTCTGTGTACCTTCATATCTTTTGACCTTGGGTGTTTAAACATTCAGCACAAACAGCATGAGTGAGCGGGAGGAAGCCACAACCACCTAAAAAACACTTTAAAAAACACAACAATTCAACACAAACTTTCTTCTTCTGGAAGAAAGTTTTACCACTAAAATGTCAAATGTGCAGGTTTCAGTTTGTGTGTAAAATGTAAAAGGAGAAATATTCCACGAAAAGACTAAAAACCATCAATGAAATGATACATAAATCACTTAATAACAATAACTCACTAGAGAGCCAAATGTGTATTAATCCGCTGTTGAAAATAGTCTCTAACAAATACACTATTTCCTCCTGTTTGAGCAACGTTTGATAAAAACTACAGCGAGCAGCTGTGTTAGGAAATGACTGAACCTTTTAAAAAATGGAACTATATATTTGTGAGTCATTTTAAAAGATTTATGTCTTCAGTAGGAACTAATCAGTTCAGGATAACCAATCAGTCACGTATCCGTCCCGCCAACGTCACTTGGTGGACTCAGGAGCAGCGGTTGTTAGTAGCCGTTAACTTGAGAAAAATGGCAATTTACTGAGTTATTATTCCTGTAAGTTCACTTACAACAACCCGCACAGCTGCATCGATCTCTCCCACGCTTGCTGACATTTTCGTGGCCTTGTCTTTTGTAATTTTTCTGGCGCCGGTGCAGGAACATAACGTCCCCATTCTCAATCCTGCCCACAATGCTCTGATTGGCTCTGCTGGGTTTTCCAAACGGCCGCCAGTGAGCACAACACAAGATCTATTTGACTGTAATAATCAGAGATGTAGGCAGCGATTGAAAGGAAGATGGGACAGAGACAGACTAAAGTCTCTTCACACCAGCTTCAGCCTTTAAAAAAAGTGCAAAACTGCATTTAAAAAAGAAAGATATTATGAATGGAAGAGTGAAGTTTGTGCGTCCCATAGAAAGTCTAATGAATAGTGTACTCTCTGTGCTCACACACACACACACACACACACACACACACATACTGCTCGTGGACAAAACTGCCATTGTAGCATTACACATGACAGAATCCAAACAACAAGAAAGCTGCACCCTTGCCAACAAAGACAATCCCTCGAAGAAGCCGTTTAACTCGGCATCCGGGAGCTCAGGGAGCAAACAAACTCACGGCTGATAAGAACGGGATTCGCTGATAATCATGTTTGCAGAGGAAATGTAAATGAGTCTGCACCGCGGTCATATTACAGGAGACAGGTCTGCAAACATGCGAAGCTTTTATTTTCATCAGCACTCACTATGAGGACCCAGACAGGAGCTCTCCACTCACACACATTTTTCACCTGCTGCAGAAAGGCAAGATGACAGCAGTCTTTGTCGCAGGTTCATGAGGGGGAAAAGGCTCAAAGGTCTGCTGATGCAGCTTGTTCCTCTCGGGGGCGTGTGAAAATGTAATCTTGGCACGGGCCCCCGGACTCCCGAGCAAACCGCTAAGACGGCTCTGCGAGGAGCTCGGTCAACAGGGATGTTGACACAGCTCCAGGAGCAGCGAGCGTGCAGCAACACGAGCAACACGCAGTCTGACGTTGGGTTTTACACCAAATACAAAGTACGATGCACCAAAGAGGAGCAAAATATGGAGATGAGGTTAGAAATGGAGAAAAAAATGTTGATTTCTCCTCTGGGAAACTCTCCTGATTGGACACATTTTTCAGTTTTTGTAGTGTGCAAGGAAAACCAGTTATCTCGGCTTGATTGAACAAATCTTTAAGGGAAACCTGCTCTCATAAACTGCAGCATTTACCAGGTATTAATGCTCTCACCTGGTCTAAAGAGATACCATTTAGATGTTATTAGAGCCTGACCCATATTAGAGACTGAAAACCAGGATCCCCCGCCCTGTGCTGCTTTCAAATGTGTCTCTTGAGAGTCCAGAGTGCGATACTGAATCACAATAAAGTGCAGCTTTAAAACAGTTACAAAAAGGTTAGAGATTACTTCAGGGATTATTTAATCCATAAAATGTCAGAAAACTGTGAAAAATGAACTTATATGTTCATATGAGTCATATGAACACTGGCACACAAACAGTCCAAAACACAAATATATTTCATTTACTATCATTCAGGGATGCACTGACACCAGCATCGGCTCCAATACTGCACCCCTGTACTGTTAGAACTGCAATGATATTATTAGGAACTCATATCAGGACACGGTATCAGCAAGTTCTCGAATGTAAGTGTTTGTATTGGTCTGACAAAAGTCATATAGGACAAAAAATAGGAAAATCTTCATATTTCAGAAGCTGGAGACGGATCATTTTTGCTTGAAAATAAGTTTTATTTATACAAAATGATTGGTTTTCTGTCAATCCAGAGCTGAAACAATTGATTAGTCAATCAACACTGAATGAAACAACAACAATCCCGAAAAGTATGTAGGATTTAGTGGCATCTAGTCGTGAAGTT